AAAAAGGCTCTTAGATAAATATAGTTTTCTATATATATATACCTTTGATCATTTTTGTTGTTACCAAGTCTGGGAATCAGAAGTGCGTCGTTCCCTACAAAATGTAAACAAACGCCGCCATCTTTGAATGGAAAGGGAATATTTTGTTAATTAATCTTTTTGTTGAAGACTGAAAACCAGATACGTATAATTATGTATTAGCGCACTTCAAATTGCATTGATACATGTGGTTATGTTGTTAGCACTATCATTTTTGTAAAACGAACGTTAAAGCGATCTCAATTACAGATTTATTCTTCCAAAAATTGCTCTAATATTTGATTTCCACTTAAAATATTTCGATGTCATATCTAAACCAAACATCGATAAAAAAGGGTAAAATACTCTTTTAAAGGGATTTGGGTTATTAACAGAAAAATACTGTAGACTTACTGTGGCGGCTGTAAAAAGTCTCCCCGTACATTTAATCAATGATGTTATATTTTCGATCCTTGAAGATCGTTCAGCACGACATTATTGTTGTGCTTGTGGTATTTTTAGTTTCAATTTTTCGGCATTTCCTAGTTGGGTGGTTCCAATATTCCTACTTGAATAATGTCGAATCACCCTTAGGATATGTTGCCCGCTTTTTAAATTTGTCTTTTGACGTCTTATCTGTGATACGCAGGCTTCATAACCTCTGATCCCCTTTCAAAATTCCATTTTATTTAGTTCCGCCCATTGTTTTCTCGTTTAGGGCACACGCTTTTTATTACTTGGGGACCATACGCCGCTTTTCATGGAATGGCGCGGAAGTGTCACATTGAAGGTTCCATGATAACCGCCGTATGAACACATCTGCGGATATTTCTAAATTCAAAATTTTACCATTTCATGTTTAAATGTTGAATTCTGCTTAAGCCGGTGCTAGGGGGCGTGGACGGTAACTTGCACTTTCCAGTACCGTCCATGAACAGGCTCAATCAAACCGAGCCTGCAACATTTTCAATTTTGCCTTGTTGGACTTTCTTTAGGGATTCTCTTTTTATCTATTTTGTAAACTCGTGCAAGAATAAACATATTGTTTATGTAACGAATGACGTCAAATACATGGTGGTAAATGTTTTACCAGGAAAACGCATCCCTTTAGTGCTTGAAATTATTATTGTCCAATAAGATTGAATTATTTGAAATGAATCGTAACACATTTCTTTAGTAAAATCGACTATTTATACCAGTCAAAACAATTTTAAACACTAAATTAGTTTGTGATCATAAATGACCAATTTATTTTTTTTATATAAATGTTTACTAATAAACACTAACCTGTGCGTGCTTTACATTTATTTGCTTGAAATTCAATTGTTTGACACAAATACTAAATTGTAAATAGGTCTCCTTACAATGGCACCTGATTAATCTATATAATCATGTAAACAACGATATTCATGTCAAAATGACGTCATCATGACGTCAATTAACGTAAACATTTTGTTCATCACTGATGATTAATGAACTAGTCCTTAACGAGGATATTTCACGCGTTCCTCATTTTTTCTGGCACTAATGATACTATTAAAGTACGTTTCACTGAATGGTTCGTTATATATGCATCACTAGCTCTAATCAAGCGTTTAATCAAGACAAAGTAAGGTGAAAGTATATCGCATAGTGGAAGAATTTGAAATCAGAACAGATTGAAAATTCTCAGCTTTGATACATTTCTAACCTTTTGTTTGTAAAATTGAAGCACGGGGAACTATTAAGTCACTTCAATTGTGGTATTTATTAAAAAGTAAGTTTTTCTTAAACATAATATAAAAAGATAAAATAGTATGTGTTTCTTTTTGGTACTTTGTATAAATTGAAATAAATATGATCTTAAATTACAATTAAGTGAGCAATTAAAATTTGAAAACTTGGCATGTTTCAATGCTTTTTCAAAAAATTAAATCCTGAATTTGAATGCATTCTTAAATGAAAAAAAAATTATGTCAAGAATAATTTGAGTTGGTATTTATATAAAGCTTTTATGTTTTTATTCAGCCGCATAAAATATGGGTGGAACTTGTTCTGTGTGCAACATCAGAAACTCGGGCAAACGTATTGATCGTGCTCAAAGTCCATGGCAACAACGTGAAAAGATATCAAGAAGTTTAGACATGTCTTCAGAGGAAATTGATATTCTACAAAAGACATGGCCCATCATTGCAAAGGACTTAAAAGAAACCGGCTTACAGGTATTTCTTAAAATATTTGACATGTGTCCGGAAATTAAAAAATCATTTGCTCTTGAAAATGTTCCAAGTTCGGAGTTATCAAGAAACGCATTTATTAAAGCTCATGGTACACGTGTTATGACCACAATATCCTCAGCGGTGGAAGGGGTCCAGGACATTGGACGGAATAATAATTCACTTTGTAAACTATTAACTGTTCTTGGTCAGCAGCATAAACGTCATATTGGATTTAGACCTGAATTTTTTGAAATATTTTATGAATCGCTCATGCGGCAATGGGAACGCTGTTTAGGGTACGCATTCACACCGGAAGTGTCTGACACGTGGAGTCATCTATTTGTATTCATCATGGTAACGTTAGAAGAAGGATGTAACACACCGGATATGAAGTAAAATGTTTATTTTTTCATTTTCAAAGATGCAACTGTACAATAATGTTGTTATTCATAATTACTATGATTGATGTAGTCTTCACACGAAAATGGATTTAACCGGGAGAATGACAAAAATTTAAAAAACTTATCGGAGGTAATAAAAACGTTAATGTACGTATACTTTTCACTGGAAGTATAGGATTCATCCATACGTCGATTCCATTGCGAAAACATTATTCTCATCTCTATAATGTAGCATCTACAATCTATAAAATACAATGTCATGATCAATAAAGTTGATAAAATTGGCAATAGTTCTGTCCCTTGTCTAATCATCCTCGGAAACCCAGCCTATATACCGTGCACCAGTATATACGGAATATGTTCCGTGGGTTCCGACGATGTATCCAATAAGTGTTCAATAAATCCTGGACATAAGGACTCTCATTTGACTCACATAAAACACGGACAATATGAACATTTCAGGACTTTTCCATGTATGATTGATTTTTTATGAAAAAAGTTAAAGCATATTCTATAAAAGGATTTATAGATGTTCCTATATATCAATTTGTCTAAATGTATTACATGTAGTTATGTCTAAATGTATTAATGACATTAGCGGTGGTCCGTTGGTCCGAGACCACCTGGTTTTGTCAAGGACCAACTAATTTTAAAAGCCACTGGTCCGTTGGACCACTTGAATTTTCTGGTTGGTGCAAGGCTCATTTTGGAGAATGGCGATTTGGTCAAAAACACGTTATATACATTTCGTTTAAAAACATTTGTCCGATGTATATGTACATGTATATGGTTCATAAAAAATACAAAATATTTAAATCTCTGATTAGTTAAAGAAGTTCTTAAGTCATCAATAACTTTCATTTTCAGTCCCTTATATTTTCTTTATGCAAGTTAAACGAGTTAAGAAGTTAACAGTCAGAAAATAACAGACACAAATGGTTGAGTTGAGGGAGAAATCATGTCAATGTAAAAGTTAACATAAATAAGAGTCCTGTTGTTAATTTTTTAATGAGATTCAAAACAAACAAATAACTTCATAATAAAATACCTAATAACTTTCATTCCTTAATTTCTGATTATATAAAAATATATATCTAAAATATTTGTTTTATTGAAGGTTAATAATACATCTTTGTCATCAATTTAAGCATATATTTTTCTAAATTTGCAGTAAAATGATATAATAATAAAAACTGACCACCTGACTTCTGGAAGGATCACCTTAATTTCAAATCTAGTGGTCCGGCTTACCACCTGCTAAAAAAGTAAGTGTCGAGGCCTGACATGTAGTTACAAAAAGATAATAAATAACTTCTACGTTAAAGATATAAGAAGTAATTTGTAAAGGATCATAAAGAGGAGCTGAGCATGTCAAATGTGTTAGATGCAATGCCTATATAGAATTTAGATAAATTCTCGACATGGGAAAAAGGGAGATAAATAGAAAAAATAGACAAAAAAGGAAGAAAAAGAGGAGATCAGAATGGAGACAGAGAAAGTGAAGTAATTAAGGATGTCACTGTGATATAATGGGAAGTGTAGGTCCTATTTAAGACAAGAACTAAATATTTTATTTACCATGTATAAGCCAATTTAAAATGATTTCTATATAAGTAATACGGTGATATGTATTCCTGTGATAATATGCTGTAGTTATTAAAGCATATGACAAGGAAATACATGAATTAAAGGCTACGGAAGCAAAAACGTGTAACTCTTGCGAAACTAAATGCAAGAGCGCCCTTACTTGCGCCATACCTTACAAATTTACTACAAAGTGGCATAGATTTGTTATTTGAAACACATAAATATACAAGATATACCAAATTCAAGAGTTATATTATCAGTTAAATTAAATTTCCAAATTCATATGTATGCATTATGAAAGCGTCTGCATGCATAATCAAGTACAGAATTGTTACCATAATGTAAGAAACTTATTTTGCAAAACTAGTATTTAGTTCCATTGGAAACAGCTATCTCTGACTGCTCTCTCGTGGTCCTGATCATCCGCGCAGTCTGATCAGGATCCATGCTGTTCGCTATCAGTTTCTCTAGTTGTTATAGGGTTGGTAAGCGAACAGCATTGATCCTGATCAGACTGCGCGGATGCGCAGACTGGTCTGGATCCATGCTGGTCGCAAACCCACTATGTTGGTTTTGTTGTGACGCGGCTCAGATGTTTTTATTCATATGAGAGGTGAGCATCGCCGAAATGAAGTGTAGATTGTCTGTTGTTATCTAACGTAGATTGTCAAGAAGTTCAGCACGTTGTGCATTACTTCGTGGACACATGAATAAGTAATGGCATTTGTTATTTTTAAAGGGGGTTGTTTTGGACATGTTAGATATAAGATTAACACATTCCTGTGTAGTTGTTTTTTATTAACCATCATTATACATCGATATCGTTTTACTGCCGATAAACTGTATGAACGTATATTTTTAATTTAGCAATTATTGTTCAACGATGGTGCATCTGTAAGGTAGATATGCATGGTGGACAGTCTACCAAGGCTATACAGACAGGTAGGCGGTGTTTCCATGAATAACTAAAATAGAAACAAAAAGACTTCTAAAAATAGATATAAAATATCATTGAGCAGAGTTTACGATTTTATTAATCCACAACAATATTTATAATTATGACTAAAAGGGGAAACCTTTCAAATTGTAATGTCAAAAAGAGAAAAATGTATATAATAAACAGAAAATACTATCAATACAGGATTTATTTTCATCCTGTGGTATCAAAATTATCAAATTTGATATGTGGCTAGCCTCACTCATGAAATATTAAAATCCTGTATTTACAGTAAAAAAAACTTGAATATCCTCTATATAGTATAACTTTAATGTTTTCTCTTTAATGTTACTGTTTTTATTATTTTCTAATTATTTATTATTAATTTTTTTATCATTTTGTGCTAATTGTTTGTCTTTGGTTTATTTTCCCCAACTTTTGGGTTGTAATATTTAAGCTTACCGCGTAAACAGCCTGTTGCGGATGTTCAATGTATGGCGAATATTGTTTCAAGTCCATTGCAAGTGCCCACCCAAAGCTATTTAATACACCGTCATTGTACAGCAAAAATACCGGGAAAAAGTCGTTGCAGTTCATCGCTAGATCTATGTTATACCAATAATGCACCCCTGTATAAAGATTATAATCAAAGAAAACAGAAGTTAAAAAGGTTCCATGATAACCGCCGTATGAACACATCTGCGGATGTTTCTAAATTCAAAATTTCACCATTTTCGTGTTAAATGTTAAATTCTGCTTAAGCCGGTGCTAGGGGCGTGGACGGTAACTTGCACTTTCCAGTACCGTCCATGAACAGACTCAATCAAACCGAGCCTGCAACAAAAATTTAATTTTGTTGTGTTGGACTTTCTTTAGGGATTCTGTTTTTCTCTATTTTAATGCGGTGATCAATTTCAATAATATAAAGATATTTCATTTAACTGTTTTCAAAATTGTTTGAAAAAAAGAAAACTTTTGTATCGAGAATATAATATCAATAGAAGAAAGTCTTTTGAGACCGTGACTAGTAGGATGTGTCAGAGTTAAATCGTATACATATACGCCCCTCGTACAAATCAGATAGCCTCCTGTTTCGATGTTCTCTCTTTTAAAGAAAATGCAATACACAGTCTAATACATATTTACACATCAAAATAGAGAAAAACAGAATCCCCCGAAAAAGATCAACTCGGCAAAATTGAAAATGTTGCAGGCTCGGTTTGATTAAGCCTGTTCATGGATGTTACTGGAAAGTGCAAGTTACCGTCCACGCCCCTAGCACCGGCTTAAGAAGAATTCAACATTTAAACACAAAAATGGTGAAATTTTTTAATTAAGAAACATCTGCAGATGTGTTCATTCAAAGACACACATTTCCCTGCAGATTTATTTATGTAAAGCATAAAAAGGTTGTTTACAAGTTCAAAATTTAGCGGATATCGACTATACTCGGTAAGCTGTGTTATACATTGTATCATAGTTTTGTAGACCTTTCTAAAAAAACGTGCACAATGCGTTAACTGAAGTGCAGGTAGTACAATGGTAGGATATTCATTATTAAACCTTATATGTTTATTTCAATTTAACAAAAAACACTAAGATTTAAATGAGGAAAAAAGAACCATACCCATAACTTTGAAACAGAGGCCTTTTGTCCAAAGGCTTTTATCTGCTTCATTCTGGGTTAAAGGAACTTCAAGTAGGTCCAGCATGGGGTTCGTACCGTTCTGTAGCCACAGGCCTGTGCCTGTTCCATCTTCGCGAAATTCAGCTGCGCTGCGACCCTTATTACAAATAGTCGCTGTAAAAAAAGATATACCATACAAACCGGAATTTTGTCAATTTTACATAATTATATATTCTGGAGGCATCAAAGTAGGACAAAAGCTTGAGTGTAATCAGAACAATGACGTATGGAATATTGCTCTACTGAAGGGATGGCAGTTCCTACCGTTCCTATGGCGACACTGAATACAGTGTTTACAAAAATTCATTTATTAATCCGCATTTGAAAAGTATGTGCCTAAAAGTGGATAGGTCTACAATGGGCACATTTTCCGTATTGATGAAAACGTATCATATGGATACATGTATTCTTATCAAATTTTGCTGGAAATTTATATTCTGTTATAGAACAATTTATTATCTGCTATATGAACACATGTAACTATATGTAAATTTCGCACTTACCAACAACATTCATATACAGCTACATGTACAATTCTTACATTGTTTGTCGTTTTGTATGTTACCTAACGCTGTCAATAATTATTTATTGTATCACAGAGACATTCCATTAAAGACCTGATTGGCGTCCGCGCCGAAGCGCGACGCCCCTTATGGAATGATTTTGTGAAAGGGCAATTGCAACTTCTCGGGCCTTTTACTCGGTCATAATAGCCGATCATTCCGATTGGTATGAGGGTGTTTGATTATAAGCATTTGACACCAAAAGAGAGACACGAAACCCATGCAGACTGGTTAGTCTCTATACTGATGTTGGCAGCTAAATTTATGTTCCGCTAAAACTTTGAATAGACTGGGCCAAATTCATAAATGAAGAGATATGTCGTCTGCCGTCGATTTATAAGTAAATATGGCATTCGGCTCAGAGGTCGCATTAGCATTCCAAGACTGGAGATACAAAATAAACATAACATAACTTGAAAATTGCATTCCCTGAATTATTCAAAACATTTCGCCAATTACCCATCATCCTTTACCGAAATTTGACGAAAGATACCGAAAAGTTACGATTGTGAATGACCTAACTCGATTAATTAATACGTACATGGATCAACAAAGTAAGCTGTCAAATATTGGTACCCATCATCTTCGATTATTGAATTATCCTTTAGTGGTGGAAACGGGTAATTGTTTGGATTTGGTGTAAAATCCGCTTGAAACTGAAATGTATAAATACATTCTCGCAACTTTCTAGCTTTAATTCCATTATTTTGAAAACGTGTGAACACTGTAGTTGAAACATCGAGTTTCCGTAAGCTTTGACAGTTTTCTAACATGAGACTAGAAACACACAGCGGTAAATGAGTGGAAACACAGCGGTCAAGGAGTGGAAACACAGCGGTCAAGGAGTGGAAACACACAGCGGTCATGGAGTGGAAACACACAACGGTCAGGGATAAATATACAAAGGTCTGGGAGTGGAAATATACAGCGGGATAAAAATGGACGTTTGCTATTATCGTTAAGTTTATGACTGAATTTTGTGTTATGTTTTAATGTTTTACTGAAAACACTTAGTGAGACGGGACCCACATAATTATGTATTCTTTCATCTTATTACAAGCACACGTAGCAATACATTGCCGTTTATGCAAACACTTCTGTCAAGTTTGACAAGAGGGTGTATTTTTACCTTATTTTTTACAGCAAAGAGCCATACTTTATCCACCGTTTCTGCGACGAATACTCCACTTCTGCGAAAGCTATGGCCTGAGTGTTAATATGCCATAAAGAGGCAGATTTATAACATCCTCCTTCATTTGTATGGAACCCAACGCGCGAATCCAAATGGAATTTTGTATGAACTAATATTATTTACCATACATGTTATTATTTCTTCTTTATCTAAAAAAAAAACGTCGAAAGGTAAAGCAAAAGCGATTGTTTTAATTGAACTGATTATATATTATTAGTTATCTAATAAATTTATTGTTTAATTCAAATGTTAATAAATAATGAAATTACCCCAAGTTGAATTCCTGCTATGTAGCCGGCTACATCGTAAATTAGAATCACCGCCGTGTCATTGCCTTTGATGTATCGTAGGCCTTTAAATTTTGAATTATCTGGGGAAAAAATGTAGAAAATAAATAAAGCGAGACCGGATTTTTAAAGTCTACCACGAGTTACCTCCACTTTTGGTAGGTATGAGTCATTTCCGGTTTAACCGTCATCAATATTAATGGAAAAATACTACTGTAGTATGCCAAAATGTCACAGCTATAAACCCATTGAGTAATAACAGACACACCGCACAATCAACTTGTGAAGCTGTGAAACGAAATATGCTCATCATAATCTCGAGTCATTAGTCACGTGCATTTAAAAGCCTCGTTTTCGATCCAATATGACTGACTCGTGATATAAGGTTATTTAATTGCTTAATAGAATGATGCATTAGAATATTTAGATAAATATGAAAGCCAAACCGTCACAGCCAGCACCAGGGGTCAGTCCAGTCCAGTTGAGAGCAAGAGCTTCAGAACGGGTCCTCGGCATGTTTTCGAATACATTCCAGGTCACTGTAAAAAATCCAACAAATAAATGGATTGACAATAGCAAATTCAAAAGCATATACGTAATAATTAAAAAAAAATATGAATATTTCAAATATTGTACGAGAGAAATTATATTACTCTTTATGATCAAACACATTGAAAACTGCATAAAAGTCATGATTTTAAAACAAAACTAGATATGAAACAATTTATGTTCTCTAACTCTAAAGAATCAAAACATAATAAAATTTATTATTTGTCACGCAGAAAATGCAAGATATATTCACCTTTCAATCCATCCCAGTTTTTCACTGAAAAAAAAAGAATAAAATACCATATTACATCAATATTATATTACATATCAATAACCGTTCCTTATAAAAAGAATTTCACTGATGATATGAAAAGCGTTTGTAATACGCTTTTAACAAAAGTATGGCTAATAATCGCACTCAATAATTAACTAAATTCTTAATGGAATGTATATGGTTCTACTCAGGTGCTCGTTCGTGCCTGAAATAATACACGAAGCGGCATCTGATTTCTTCTTCTACCAGTAAAGTTGGAAAGTCACTAAATTACCTTGACAGTGATTGGGCGTCGAAAACTATACCAAAAAGTAACTATTTTAATATAGAACAAATACACATGTAGATATATAACGTTTAGAAAAACGCACTCATGTGAAGACAATTTCTATTAAAACAGGCAATTATCCTACGTTGATCAAATATAAATGATATCTAATTTCACAAATAAAATTACAATTTTAAGAACATATCACCAGAGTAAAATCTGCCGCTCTGGCGTAAATATTGTGTGACATGAGAAGAACATAAGACTAGCACCATCCTGCCAATACTTGATACCAACGACTTCAAAGAAAGTGTATAAATTTGAAACCAAAGACATTGGCTTGATTAGTTCAAATACCTCGGCATGTGTCGTTTTTATCAGACTCTATACATTTCCTCTTACAAACGCCCTCACATCGCTTAGATAGGCATTGTCTGTCGAAATCACATTTTTCGCCAAGTTCTATAATAAATACGCAAAGATAAAATGACAATTTAAATGTGGTTGAAAATAATGTCTTACGACACCAATACAGAACAAGGGCGGCATACACGTACCGCAAACTGACCATTGATATAAAACCACTTAATCTTCTAATTGTAAAAAAAATAAAATGAGATATAACTTTCTCTAAATAACTAGTTTTGCTATAATCTGTAGTTGCTCCATTTTAGTTTTGCGATAATCTGTACTTGCTGCATTTCAAATTGTTGATTGAAAACAAACCTTTTTTACAATGAGCAACAAATGCAAATGCCATTTTTCGTATTTGAATCATTTAATTATATCTGTTGTATCATTTCATGTTCATGTTTGTTTGTTGTTCTTCTTCTTCTTTTTTCGTTTTTTTTTCTTCTTTTTTTTATAGAAAATTAATGTTATTTTAAACAATATTAACATTAAGATCTCCCAATTAATTTATTGTGTGAAAAATGAACAAAACAAAACGTTTCCAAACAAAATATTCTTTAAGAATGTTTGATCAGCGATGATTTTGAGTATGCGCATGCCTCACCCGGTTTAACTGAAACGGAATTTCAATTTTTCACTATTATTACTGCGTCATTTTCTAAATATAGCTATAGAAACATGTAATAAATTGGATCGATCGCTGAAATATAATTGTAAGGAAAATTAAAGGTTAAAAGCACAATTACCTAAGTCCTTTTTTTCTTTATGTTTCAAAATCTACAATGAAAAGGCTAGTTGTGAAAGTTGGCAAATACCTTACATCTATGGTGGCTGATTTGGAACGCTTTTGTGCGTCGTGTTGTCGCTAGCGACAGGCCGACAAAGCGCCAAACGGTGTGTTGTCAGACTTTCATCTTGTCGTCATGTCGCTGACGATGTACGCCAAACGGCACGTTGTCGTGCGGTGTGTTGTCGCCATGTCACATTGTTGCTCAGATCAAATCCAAGGATCGGCTTACAAACCAAGCGACAGGGCGACAACGCGCCGTACGACAACGAGCTGTTTGGCATGCATCGTTAGCGACAGGATGACAAGACAAAAGACACTAGCGACAGCACGACGCACAAAAGCGTTCCAAATCAGCCGCCATAATTATGTACATGTGTTATAAACGTTATAATTATAATCTTACATACATATCTAAGTAATAGAGCATAATGAATGTGTGTAGGTTACTGTTAAATTATTTACTGTTAAATTATATTTTGATGCCTCTGGCGAGCAAAATATCATTTTATTCAACGAGTTCAATAAATTCACTACTGAACTTTCACGAATATAATATTCTATTTATCACGTACCCAAAATAAAGACTGTTTTAAGTGCAGAAGAATTATTTTTTTTCGACGAACATATAGTGTAAAGCTAACATTTAAAGCGCGTCTTTACACTATGTTTACAACGCAAATGACGTCACGTCAAAATATATGCAAAGCCGTACAGTGCCATTTTACGGGTTTGCAAAATCGTCACGGGTATGTGATTAAAAGTATTATTACTAGTAGATAGAGCTTTAACACATCAAAAGTGAACAGTAGCTTTAGTTAGAGCTAGTCAGTGTACTATAACTAAGTAATTTTTATTGTTTACCTTCAAAATATACTTTTTGAAGTGAGTAAGCCGAATACCCTTGACCTTTTTTGTTTGGCATCCTGCTTTCACGGAAGAGAGACCGACAAGGTACCACAGATGATTGTTTGAATTCTCTGCTTTGCAGATGATAGGAGATCCATTGTCTACCTTATATACAGAAATATATATAATATATTTACAGTTTTATAATTCTTATCAAATGGAATAATTTATACATGTATGCCAATGTTTTATTAGGACTTTTCCGACCTCTTTATTATTATAATAGTGGCAAGCCTGGGGAGGGACTTGTATAATGCCTGAAGATATGTATTGAAACATTAAAAATACGATATAAGTGAAAAAAGAAGTAAGTTTGTAACGTAAATGAAAGTTTAAGAACAGAACAGAACAGATATTTTATTAAGACTTGTACAAAGTACATCATCTACAATACATTATATTCACATATGTAATAGCTGCTTGAAAATGAACAAACAAAACATGAATATCACATTTTACGTATACAATAATTTCATAACAACAAACAAACATGCAATCAATCAATCAATCAATCAAACAAACATGTAGGTATGAAAAAAGTGTATTTACTATCTACTTTTATAATTAAATAAGATGCTTTTATGTATATTTTTGGAATAAAAACAAAACATTTGGAGAATGAACATTAATTGTAATCAGACAGTAGCATTCAAGGTAATACAATCATGGCAAATTTCATATCCATTACTGAGACAAACAAAAAGCACCCCCACACACACGTTTTTTGTTAACCGTTTCTGACACAAACTAACAACTTAAACCTCACCCCAACAAGCCAGCCAACCATAGGAGCATGTACTACTGTTCAGCAGCTCAATTTGATATTTTGATACTAAAATCGCTTAACTTTAAACTGGCTTTTTCTGGCAAAATTAAGCAAGAAAATATTCTAAATGCAATCATATTTAAACAAACTTCGCATTCGCTGTCACTGCTGGAATCGAATTCTAAAGCATTGTGGCGCAATGAATATATTGTCATATTTGAAATATGTGTCTATTAGAACTAAATAAAATCACTGTTTTGAATTCGGATTTGAAGAAAAATATTATGAATTCGCAGAAAAATTTCACGAGGGCGTAGCTGGAGTGATATAATGCTGCGCATTTGAATGACTAACAGTTATTTTATTAGGCGATAAAATCATCGCTTGGGATATATTATTTCGGCTCGTACACATCGACAAATAAATGCTGCCGTTCCTGATACCAAGTTTATTTGTCGTACTTTATTCAGCGTGGTGTAGCATTTTAATGGTAACGTCATAGGTCTTTTATAGATAGATAAACAGTGATTTTACACTTTCTGCTTTCGGTCATTCTTTCTTCAATAGGAAAAATGCAGTTCGTGATAAAATAATAGATATCACAATAATCCTAATGTCAATTTCACTACTGATTATAGCATTCATTTCAAACCAATGAAAACAAAAATAGAAAAATGTTATACATACTGCACAAATTTTGTCATCGGTTGCATCAAAGCAAAATGATTCGGCCTTGCCCAATTTGCCGCATTTGGAATTAGATTTGATGTTGACACCGACTTCCTTCAAATTGGTCTTGTCACCTTTATCAAACATTTAACAAACCTAACAGTTACCAGTACTTTAATGATCGACTTTGATTTTTCTTTACATTTCGCAATAACTTAAGACTTTTGATCTGGGGAATGTGAGTGCCGTTATCAAAAGAAAATAAGAAAGGTAATAAAACATGTTGTTGTTTTTTTTTTTTCAGATGGTACTACACATAATCATCGTTTGAGTATTTCATAAAGCCAAAAAAGCCATATATGTCAAAAGTTTGTTTTGCGAAATCTTCAAATTGCGGAGGAATCAGGAATTGTTATTTCAATAGTTGTTTCAATAGGGGGAAATGTCTATATTCGGGTTCTATTTTGATGAAAACAAAAAGAACGACACTAGACGTCTGAATCAATAAATAGGGAAAAAAACAACAAATAGCCCATGTAGATCTAAGTAATGCACAATGCAAACTTTTCAATTATGATGTAAATAGGAGTTTAATCCAACCCTCGTATTAAAGAGTAATAAAAAAATTTCCGAAAAATGACAATAGATTTTTGTTAACCATGATTAATAGGAAAACATGAAATATCGCTGAAATAAACGTCAACAAGGGAAATGAATCGTTTAATGTTTAAGACAGTTAATAAGATCAGAAAATACTTACCTGAAAAACCAACTACTTTACAATTTGTCGCTTTTGGTTCGGCTCCTTTTGAAATAAAACGATCAAAGGGCCGTACTTTGTCCTTCTTGCGATGTACTTTTTTGTTCAGCTTTGCCAACAGAATGTCGTCAAACTTATTGTCTGTCTGTTAATAATTGATATATAGATGTTCAATTTTAAATATCTAACTATAAGTAAACAGACAGTTAAAGCTAAGATAAGCTTCCTCACATGAAAAACCAAATGTCCCTGACGATGAAGGGCTAGAAACTTTAAGTCGGAGACTTAACTTAATTGAACTTGATTGTAACTAATTTTGCAAAGGCTCACGGATATGTTTTTTGTTTGTTTGATTGGGTTTTGCGTCACAACGACACAGTATTGGTCATATGGCGACATTCCAGCTTTACTGGTGGAGGAAGACCTGGGGTGCCTTCCGTGCATTATTTCAGACACGAACGGGTACCCGAGTAGAACCACCGACGTTCTGTAAGCTAGCTTGATAGCTCACATGAAAGAATCCAAAATCCCTGTCGTGATTCGAACCCACAGCGGTGAGGGGCAAGTGGTTTGAAGTCAACGACCTTAACCACTCGGCCACGGACGCCCCACCACGAATATGTAATAAATATATAAATTTCCTTTTTCCTTTGTTTTCTTTTTTTGGAAGAAACATAGATGCATATGTTAATATTGATTCATTGATTGATTGGTTAGTTGATTGATTGATCGATTTGATTTGATGACAATAATTTAAAGATATTAAGGCATTCCCACCCCAATCATGGTCTAATACTGTATAAATAATTATAAATAATATTTATATAAGGTCCGTTTAGAGAAAGATGGAGTGCTTTTATGTCTTCCTTGAAAGAAATAAAATATTGTGCAAAAGATACAGAAAAAGTATAGCTAGAATCAAAACATGTACATTTCGTTGAAACAAAAATCCTACAAAGAAGTAAATTATCCCCAAAACATACCTGTATATATTTAACTTTTCGGACGACGCCAGGCTTAAAAAGAATTGTATAGTCGCGAACATCCCTGTAAAACAAACGCATTGATACTTCTTTTGCAAATAATCACGGGGTCGGAACCCTATATGGATCTCAAAATTGAGCATCGGTAAAACATATATGTGAATGTGAAGGATAAAAAATATGTCAATCACAGTGTAAGTTTCCAACTTTTTAAACGTTTATATAAAATTCAAAGCATTTTTTTATGAAAATCGAAATGTGATTTGCCGACGATGAAATATAAACAATAAGGAAACAATTCGATACCTCTAGGTTACCGTCTATATTTAAATTAGTAAAGCGTGGCCAAAGTCTTTTTTTTAAATTTATGTTTGTTTTATAAAGCTAAGAGCTCAGCCATTTCATTTACCTCTCTATACAATCTTTTCCCGTTAAAATCCAATCACGTGCTATCAGAATGCCGCTACAAATAAATTCTTTCTTCTTCATAATTCTCACTGTAAAACTGAAATCTCCTTTTCTTGCAGGGCGGCCTCCTTTCATGTGTTCTGACAATTCTTGTGAAAAACATAATGTCCATATAATACCTAAAATGGTTAAAAATTGAAGTAATAAGTTATTCGAATCCCGGGCTGGCCAACTAACATTACTAATCAGTCTTTCGGATGAGACTTTAAATCAAGGTCCCATGTATGGGTGCTTAAACATTTGGCACGCTAAAGAACCAGGAGAAGCTTCTGGAATCGGGGCATCTTTCTGTATCTGTATCTTGCACTATCCTCAAAAATATAGAATGACTAATACTCGTACTTTTCTGGAGGACATTGGGAAACCAGTGGCGAGTATGAATAAACTCAAATGCACGCATAATAAGAAATAGTTAAAGCATATTATTGTTATTATTATTATTATTATTATTAATGTTACTGTCATGATTATTTTTATCATTTTAACACTTTTTATCATCAACATCATTATCATTTCTACATATTTATAATCATTATCATCATCTTCATCATCATTTTCATCATTATCTTCATTATTATTATCATTTTTATATTTTTTGATAAACACGATACAAAGTCATTCAGGAACAAGAAATGCATAATTCGAAAAAATAAAAAATAACAATAAAATAAAGATTGAATAAATATCACTTAAATTGCTAATAATTAGTAAGATAAAAAAAGGCAAAACTTAATAGAAAATAATAAATATTTACTTACAAAATGCAAAGATTTCTAATAATCTTGCCATCGTGCCATATATTATATTACATTTATCTTCCTCGGAAACAAATAAGCAAATTAGTTTTGATTTATTTTAATAGCTAGAGTTTAAAATTGGTTATTTTTTACGACTATTTTCTATGGTGGTCCATTAACGCCACTTCGTATTTATTTTTTATTTCATTTTTTTCTGATTTTTGCTATTAGTAGCTATAACTTTGTTGTTTTTGAATGGACTGTTTTCAAACTTGAACATAATTATCTCTAAGGATAGACCTTCAAGCTGACTTGACAGACATTGACCTTCACTTATTACTGACCTTCAATTTAAATATATGAATGTCATTTTTTTTTTTACTGTAACTGGCTATAACTTTGTTATTATTGAATGGATTGACTTCATATTTATTATGAAAGAATATTTTTTTAAAATAAGACCTTTATGTATATCAAACTCAAATTGACCTTGGCTCTTTTATGTCATTTACTTTGAAGGATTAATTATTGAATTTTCATCGATTTTGGTAATCAATAAATGAATAATCTTCATACTTTGACAAAACAATATTTTTGACAGACCTTTTAAAAGGTTAAACTGACCTTGACTTTGAGCTTTAATGACCTTCACGGTCAATGTCAAATTATTGCAATTTGGTTAAATTCTCATAATTTTGTTATTTAAATAAGGATTTGAATTAACAAAATAAGACTTGCTACAAAAAAACATATTGAATAATTAAGATGTGACTTTGACCTTAAATTGACATTGACTGTCAATATCAAATAAATAAAATTATTTTCTTTTTTTCTGTAACTGGCTATAACTTCGTTATACATTAATGGAATGATTTTATATTAAGATACATCTTTTAGGTCAGGACCTTCATTTATATCAAATTGACCTTGACTCATGTTTGGTCTTGAAGGTCGTCTTTATTTTATTTTCACTGCTTATTGCTATAATTGGCTGTAACTTTGTAATTAATCAATGGATTATTTTCATACTTGGACAACAACGTTTTAGGAAAGGTTAAACTGACCTTGACCTTTAGTTTTAAATGATAATGACCGTCAAGTTCAAAGTGTTGAATTTTGGTTAAGTTGTCATAATTGTTTACTTATGTACTGACTTGATTCATATGTGGATAAAACAAAACAGATATTTGGAATAATTTAAACATGACCTTGACCTTTAAATGACCTTGACCGTCTAATGATTGAATTTTGACTATGTCATTTATTTATGAAAAGGATTCATACTTGGACCAAACAACAAGTGTGACTAGACAGACATATTAGATTTAAAAATAGGAAAAACTCTTCTTTTTTTAATTTTCTTTGTAAATATTGTTTCTACTGTTCATTTGTTTGGTTTAAGAAACAGTAAAACAGTCGAGCGTTGCCCTAAACCAGCGCAGCGGTGACTCTTGTTGAATTTTCGCTTTATTGCAATTAATGTTGCGTTTTGCGTAAATACTATAAAAACGCACACGCACATCAATATCAATATGAAGCTTGCAAAATTATTTTTATTTATATCTTGAATTTATATCATTCAATCATCGTTATTATGTGACATGAAACGTGTAAAACAAATATGCACATGCGTAACTTTATAAACGCGAAGATAAGAAAAGTGAATAAGGCGAAAATGCAACAATGCTAAAATACTACAGTGTGAAAAACGAAATGCAATAATGTCAAAAAGCGAAAATGCGAAAAAGCAATTGCGCGAAAAGTCACGACAAATAAAAGGCGAATACAAATTACAGTTTATTTGTCTTATAGTCCCCTAATTTTGCCGTCATTTAGCTTATTCCCCTATATACAGCCATGGAGCTAAAGATAAGAAACTTTGTTGAATCTTTGTTTTGGGGAAAAAACGACGAAATACGACATGACACAAATCAGCCACCGTAATTATACCGTCGTACAGTCATTTTATGTGAGATAGTTCACCAATAGTAATTAAAACAATAAGTGCCTTTAGAAAAAAAAACTTCGTTATTATAAAAAAAGTTTATAGTCAAAATTAATTGAAATGCTTACGGGCCGAAATATAATTAAACTATGTGACTGATCTCGTCAGATAACAAAATTCAGTACATGTTTATTCAACATTTTGGGGAAAAAAAGAGTAAATAACAAACTTGTACTAAAACATATTTCTTTTCAGTAATTCAACGTCTTTTTCTGACTATCTAGACTTGTTAAGATCATTTTTCCATCATCGCTTAAGGTTCGAATCTCGTAAAGGACTTAGGATTCTTTCATGTGAAGGAGATAGTCAGCTAGCTTACGGAAAGTTGGTGGTTCTACTCGGGTGCCTGTAATATGCTCGTAGGGGCAGACCAAGTTGAGATCCTCCTCCAGAAGTAAAGCTGGCCATATGACCTATACAGCGTTGGTCCAATGTAAAAACCCAACAAAATAAATAGGAAAGAATTAAAAAAGACTTGTTAAATAATTCTTGTATTTTTCGTTTTAAATGGGGTACGGGTCAAAATAATATCAACCGTGACAGCTGAGACTCTTTTTTAGTTTGTTTTATTATGAGAAAAAAATGAAAAACAGGTTTTTATGCAACAATTTTTGTAACATTTTGATCAAAGTTTGAGTTAACTAGTCATTTGACGCTCTTAACTTTGTAACTATATCAGAACCAACGGTTTCCTTTTTTCAATCTACATTTAGTTTGATGCTACATCATGCTGGCTGATCATGGCTAAACTGCCTTATCATGGCTTAAATTGGCGTGATGGTTAATATATTATCAGAATTTCAGGAGAAACTACATGACCTTAATAATGACTTATCCGATGATTTGCTTGTATAATATTAAGGGCAAATTGTGTTAAAAAAGAAAATAAGATGTCGGTTACGAGTCGTAGAATAGGAATTCTCAAACAAATATCAGTCGTGTAAAATCATAAAGGAAAAACATTTGATACGAAGTATGATATATATAACTTCTACTTATCATTATTTATTCCATGCTTATAATGTTATTTACACGTTCTAACCATAAGGGTGTCCGTGGTCGACTTCAAACCACTTATCCCTCGCCGCTGTAGGTTCAAGTCCCATCAGGGACTTTGAATTCTGTCAAGTGAGGAAGCTATCCAGCAAGCTTACGGAATATAGGTGTGCACACTCGTCCCTGAAATAATGCTCGGAGGGCATCTGAGGTATTTCCCCACCAGTAAAGCTGAAAAGTCCCCATATGACGAAAGTGTCACATTGAAGGCTCCGTGATAATCGCCGTATGCACACATCTGTGGATATTTCTAAATTCAAAATTTCACCAATAACATTGTTGAATTCTGCTTAAGCCGGTGCCAGCGGGCGTGGACGGTAACTTGCACCACGTACAGGAGCTTGTTCTGTCAATAATTGAAAAATATCAGCAAATAATTAAGAAATGCCTGTATTGCCGTTATTTCTTAATTATTGGCTTATATTTTTCAATAATTGATAGAATCATCAATGTCAAGCCCCAGTGTTTGCACTTCCCATTACCGTCCATGAACAGGTTCAATCAAACCAAGCCTGCAACATTTTCAATTTGGGATTCTTTACATTTCTCTCTATTTTCTTTAGCCTTTTGCAGCGATGCTAGAACTGGTTTTGCAACTTCCTCACCTGTCAATCCCGTGTCTCCTCTTCGTTTAAGTGCTTTGCCCTCTCCTCCATGAATGTGTCCACATAGGGACTGGACACAGTGTTGGGATAGTGTAAAAAATAATATATACTGTATAGTTTATATAAATTATATATACAATATACATTTTTTCTAGAATTGTTACACTATCCCAACACTGTGTCAAGTCCCTGTGTGTGTCCTTGTTTATAAAGGTAAACCAAGCTACGCCCCAGGTAGACTCATTCTAAAATAGAGCCTATACAAGATTGAAGAACCTGATAATTGAGTATTTATTCGCCATATTATAGAACTGGTACAAAATTATTTGCATGGACTTCTAATCGCGCGCCTGATAGATCGCTCAACAGTATAATAATTTAATGTGAAACAAATATTAAAGGGAGGTAATAAAATATGCTTATTTCATTTTGATTTGCAAATAGAGTAATCGTAGAAAATAATCAATGCTTTAATCTTTCTAATATTAAGATGATTGATACGTTTTTGTAAAATTGATAATTTGGGATCCCATGTGAATCATTCTATTTTAAACGATATGTATACAAATTTTACGCTATAACGTCCATTTCTACGGGGCTGCGTTCTTTGAACGATTACGACTAGCGACAAGCTGTCACTCAGCTGTACGCTAAAATTCTTTTCAAACCCGGACCTGGGCCTGGGTTTATTTCCTGAATTAGTCCGTCTTTAACACTCAAAGACGATAAAATAAATGAAAGTTCATTCTGACATGTGACGTTGTTCAAATTGATTGACTAAGTAAAATAATTACATTATACTTTGTCAAAATTTCATCGAGTGTACAATGAATGTTGAAAAAAATATTCGGAAATTGCGCTCGAAAAATACTCAGTAGATAAAACAATGCACAATTTACAACTTTATATCATGGACCTTTAAACACTTTTCCAGCCACAGAATTCATTCCAAAACAAGCAATTATCATAGTATTGCAAGCAATCAATAAGTCCCCTACCGGTTAGAACCCCATCAACATCCTGAAGGGCCATTGGCCATTCACTTATGTTTCAATTTTCCTCTATTTTAAGTAAATTTGTTGGAAAAGTTCTTTAAAAGTGATCACAGGAAACAGTTTTTATGAACAGACAGACAGACGGACTGAAGGACACTCTAAAGTTAATATTTGGACCATCCCCGTTACCAAAATTTAACATTTTTAAAAGCAAAATTCTTAAACAGGAGATAACTCTTGAATTAAAGATGCAATTTCATAAAAAATTTTCAGCTCCTTTTGACTAATCACAAATATTGTTATATTTGCCATGTTTTAGCATATTTGTTGCCAAGGCAACCAATATTTTTTCAAAATAGGAAGAAAAGATAAGACATGCATAATCTCCAACTGCCATCAACCCATATTTAAAGTTTCATAAAAATATTTCCAGTACTTTTTGAGTTATCACTGGATTCAGTTTATGTGTAAAATTTGCCATATTTTCAGTCTATGTGTTGCCATAGCAACCATAATTTTCAACATAGGAAGAAAAGAAAAAGACGTGCATAATCTCCATATTGCCATCTATCCATATATAAAGTTTCATAAAAAATTTTCCAGTACTTTTTGAGTTATCACTGGATTCAGTTTATGTGTAAAATTTGCCAAATTTTCAGTCTATGTGTTGCCATAGCAACCATAATTTTCAACATAGGAAGAAAAGAAAAAGACGTGCATAATCTCCAGACTGCTATCTATCCATATTACAAGTTTCATAAAAATATTTCCAGTACTTTTTGCGTAAACACTGGATCCAGTTTATGTGTAAAATTTGCCATATTTTCAGTCTATTTGTTGCAATAGCAACCAGAATTTTCAACATAGGAAGAAAAGAAAAAGACGTGCATAATTCCCATATTGCCATCTATCCATATATAAAGTTTCATAAAAATATTTTCAGTACTTTTCAAGTTATCACGGGGATCCAGTTTTGTGGACGGACGGACAGACGAACGGACAGACGTACGGAGGGTAAACCTAAAGTCCCCTCCATTAAACGGGTAGGGGACTAAAAAGTATTTGGGTATATACTGTTACACTGGGAGAGAGCGCTTCCGATGCCATTTCAGGTTTCGAACAGGCGACCGGGAAGGCAAGATTTGATGTGAATTTTAACAATCAGTCAGTCACAAGGCGAGAGGCCAGGACTATAAGCGGCATGTAACAATACCACAATTCTCTGCCTTGAACCAACGCTGACCGGTCTGCATGTGTCATTTCCTTATGGCAACGCACCCCGGGTCTTGGCTCTCGTAATGAAGTGATTAACTAACTACAGCAGTGAGAACATATGTCACGGTTAAATGTACCAGTGACACTAACCCTCTCAGGCACAGCAACTCGGGCCACTATTCCACCAAAGCGAACATAACTTTTAACGCTCCTGATACGTCGAGCAACAACTGGGCGATCGCTGTTGTGACCTACCCAGATTTTGTTACTGAGTTTATTTGATGGGCTCGGCGTTTCTCTCAGGCGTTTAGGGTCGCGATCTTTGAACCTAGTCAATAAAGCGGAGGTTTTTTCAACCCACTCCCTTTTCTGGTCAGAAGTTAGCAAATGTGGGATCCAACTGGAGCATATTTTCCTCGACTTTCAAGATGGAAAACACATATGACGCACTAAGTCCCGATATGTCAGATCTCCACTATGGCTTTGACTGTGCAGATGTCTTTTTCACAGGTAGCGGGAATTGGCCACCCAGGGGCGGTGATCATGCTTAACATTACTTCTACTTTCCTTGAAGATTCATGATTGATACCCATCTGGCAATTTTAAGATATGGAAGGGCATTTTTATTTCTGTCGCGCATTTGCTCAATAACCCACGAATTTTGCAATAAGCTCTTTACTCATATCTCAAATCACAATGCAAACTCAGCCATGTACAAACCCACACGTATTTAAATGACCTGCTTAAATGTTATTGCACGTGCAAATCGTGCGAAAATACTGTTGGTTAGAAAAATCAATAATCTTTCCAACGGTATACTAGTATTATACATGTACTTTCACGTGCCCGACAATTCCAAATTCATGGGTCAACACATTTATTATACAAATATAACAAAGTATGGGTAAGCTTACTTTTTTGTCTATAGCAGTTAGAATAATAAATTTCTGTTTGAAACATAACTTAACAAGGTCAACAGATTTTCTAAAGGATAGTTAGAATAATAAGAGCGGTCAGTGGTCACATGTACCACCTTAGCAGTTCCACTGAGGCCTGATTGGCCATTTTGTTTCCTATGTCACGGCCACTTTGAAGTATGTCCATTTTGCAGCATGTTTGTAGCTACTGCGTAGCAGTAGACACAAAAATCATTGACATGCCAACTGGCATTTCAAGGGCCATAACTCAGCCAAACAGCATTAATAATTATGCTAAAGTACATGAGGTATTGATCAATCTTAGAAAGTTTCATTAAATTTGTATTAGTAGTATTGGAGATGTGGTCTAGACAAAACTTTTAAATAAACAAAAAATAAAGGGCCACAACTCTGACAATAATTATTGAACTGGAAAATTGACTTGCTACTGATCATTCCTATTGAATAAATTGGAATAAATTGCATCATTAGTTTATGAGGAGTGGTCCGGCAGATGGACTTATGAACAGAAAATGAATAAGTTATCCCTTATGTTGCTGCTATGTAAACTTTGAAACACAAAAACAACAAAATGTTAAATAAAAGGGATATTCAACCTTTATTTTTCTGTATGTGTCAAAATAATTTGACAAGACTTACATATTTAGATAACACATATTGGTTTATAATAAAATTTTGTCTCCTTTTTTCTGTATTAACATAACAATTCAAAATATTTTCTAACCTTTATTATTACTCATTATTACAAAAATGGATAATTTTGTAAAATCAAAATAAAGCCATTTTTACTTTCATGTTTTCAAGTATAACACGAGCTAAGCTATTTTTAAACCACAACTTTTGAAACAATTTCTTAAATCGAGCTGATTCATTTCTTCTTTTCTTTTCAAATTTCTTTGAAAACTTAGAAACATTTTGTTTCCAAAAAAAATTGTTAAAGTGAAATCGTATTTCTAACTCATGGTGTGAATAAAACATTATTGTTGGATGGATAACAGTAAAATAATTAGCACATTTCTCAAAACAAGACAAATAAACAAAAATATTGGTACATATATAACCATGGGTGCTCATAAGTACCATTAAACCGAAAATCTAATAAATCAATTAAGCAACCGACTAATATTCTGCACTAAAATGAGCATAATTTGATAAAGAAAACAAAAAGCAATTTTATAATCAAAGATTAAACAATAAATTTCTTCAAACTGTGGCTGAAAACAAAATATTTCAGAACATTTTAACATGAGAATCAGCACTACAGAAAAAGACTCATTTTTGAGCTTAAAGATTTCCCAAAAGGGACCACATTTAGCACCTTAGGACACTATCTTGTAATTTTTTTAGAAAAAAAACATCCCCTTCAACTCAGAACCTATATACCAAACTTTCAAAGATACCTTTTTAGTATCAGTGCAAGTAAGAAGTGAATTCTTCACTTACATTATGTTTTTTCTCTATCAGAAACAAAAAGCATTTTGCTATGCAAGTTATTCATTTCAAGGGAGAGTATCCATCTGGAGTATTTATCACTGGTTTAGTTATAGTTACCTCCCTTATTCTAACCGAAAAAAGAAAATGCAATAGCTGCCAAACTTGATAAAACTTCTAACAAATAATCAATAAAGCATAACCAAAATAACAAACAATTTTAACATAATCAAGCCACTATTTTTATGTAAATTAATAATGAATTTTGCACTGTAAAAAGGGAGTCAATGCACTCTTTCCTGAATACAACAATAAGTGCGTCATATACAGTACATGTACTTCATGAAAAAAAAAATCATTGTTAAAAAAATCCTTACTGAATCTAACCTGAAGCAAAATTTACAAATCAAATTCAAAAAATTTAATTTCTATGCATTAACCCAATTGCAATGAAATTTCAATTAATGGCAACACAAAATAAGTAAAATTAATAAAGAGAGAACAATCATTTTTTTAAAATTAATAAAGAGAGAACAATCATTTTTCAAAGCTTTAAATATTTGTACCCTTCATGTACCCAATTTCCAAAAATTATCATTTCATGCTTAAAACATCGTGCTTAAAACTAAAAGCAAAATATTTTTCAACATTATATACCTCTGGAACAGAAAAAAAAATGTTTGTTTTATTTTGCCCAGAATGTCCTATACCAGCCAAATATTGCAAAAAAAAACCTATGACATAATTGAGCAAATAATGAAAGACAAAAAAAGAAAATTTCATATTTTTCTTCGTGATAGTAGAATCTAGCCATACATATACACATATAATTAGACATTGTAGAAAAATCAACTTCAAAACAAAAAATTGTCAACAGTGCACAATACACATATAACTTTGAGAGGATTTTTTTCTTGCCGTTATCTAAAACATAACTTCATAGCACTAGGGTTAAGAAAGGTTTTACAAATACAATCTTATATATCATTATAGTACGAGGGGATAATAAAGTTTTACAAATGCAATCTCATTATCAAAGTGTACAATACTAAACTGGTGAAAACATGATTATGAATCCACGCACATTGTGAGTTACAATGCTGTTATAAGGTAAATTATTCCATAAAATCAGACATTTTTCTAGTGAGTAAAGTACAATTATTATATCTAGCATTTAGCTATATCAATAACAACTCACTGTTGAAAACAGCAGTAAGACTTCAATACTATACACTACAGTTGAGTATAAGCCCAGTACCAAGAGACTGTTACTGAAAGTACTGTAGGAGCCCAGGCCTCGAGTTTATAAAACTTTTGTCCGAGATCTGTCTCAGACCTCTGGAATTTCATTGATCAATGCATATTCTGTGTATATTTCTGACCAATCAAATACCCAAGATACAAGTTTAAGCTTAGAAAAAATTTTCCTAACCTTTGACTCATTACTTTAGACTATTGGTGTAAGTGTGCAGTACTGTAAAGTAAACTACTGAAACAGTCCAGACTTGAATCTGTGAGAGGTTAGTACTATAGCCTTCCAGTACTGTTATAACTCTAGTACTGTAAGACCTCTACTGTTAAACAAGTACTGTGTAATTAAACTACTGTATAAGTTCAGAATTTTAGATATTAGCATGTAAGACTATAGTACTATAAGACTTTATTACTTTAAAATAGAGAAAAACAGAATCCCTAAAGAAAGCCCAACACGTCAAAATTGAAAATGTCGCAGGCTCGGTTTGATTGAGCATATTCATGGACTGTACTGGTAATTGCAAGCTACTGTGGACTAAAATATTGTGTAATTTGTAACTACTGTAAGAATCGTGAACAGATAGACTCCAGCAGTGTTAAGTTTAACACGGCATTACTGCTGTAAGCACAGTCTATTAATACATCTACTTCCTGTTGTCACAAGAGAGGTCCAAGTTTAAATTCATAGGCTCCCAAGAAAGGTACTGTGTTTAGAAGTAGAAGGTTCTTATAATCATAAGGCAGTGTACAGTTTAATTGTATATGGTAGGCTTGTAGGACATTGTATAGTGATTTTGTTCATCCACTGCGGAAAAAAAAGACGTTATATTATAACAATTATCCACAAGCCTTTCCACGAAATTTCAACAATAGCTAACATAAAACAAATTGATATTAAAACTCATGAAAAAAAATGTCTGATTTTACGTATATCCTGTAATATAAAAAAAACAAAATATAAATATGAGAAAAAAATGAGCAATTGACTGTCACCCCACACTCGGACTGCAATTCGAAATTATGTTTCCTTTCCTTATCTCTGAACATACATCGGAATAGCACCTTACTTACACCTTCAATCTACACAACTTTTTTTTATTTTTTAAGTTTGTTGCTTTTGTTCATGGGCCTTACATCTTGACATCTTTTCTTTCTATTTATGAGTATTAAATTTCATCTTTTTACTTCTTATCAATAAAGAAAAGGCCACAGAATTGAATGCTATACTTTTTGGAATGTTCCATTTAGTTGCAGGTAAGATTTGTCAGCACTGGAATGTTCCATTATGTTACAGGTAAAATTTTTGGATATTGGAATGTCCCATTCTTTTACTGGTAAAATTTTTGAGCAGTTGGCTCCCACTCATCACCTAGAAGTCATAATGGACTGTCCTGCTATTCCATCTAGATTGAACCATTTTCACTTTCAAGGGGTGACAGAACGATCAACATTATGAGTCCCCTGCCTCCTGAACATTTTGAATGTCTGAACCGTATTTCATACTCAATGATCTCGACACATAGTTCCAATATTCACTTCGAATTTGATCGTATTCATCCGCAAGACAATTACACAACTGAAAAAAAAAACCATCAAATATTTCATATTAAGTATCCTAGTGAAAGTGCTAATTTAGGGTAGCAATTGCATATTTCATTACTGAGATCTACAAAGAACTATGAAGAACTAATTAAACAACTTATTTTCACATAACATGTATGCCCCAACCACATCACAGACCTATTTACAAGTCACAAATTTTTTATTCTTATATTTCAAAGATGTTTTAAAATTCTACCATATTTAAAGGTCAAAGTCATATGACTTACAGGTCAAGGTCAAACTTCATTATGTCAAAATAAACATATAGGTATAATATGTCAAAGTAGAAAGATAAGCACAGACAGACGGAACAAAAACATATCCATCAAATCAAAAACCAATAATTGAAATAAACAGTATCAAATTATTTATTATTTTATAGGCATTCTTATCATAATTTTGGTGTCACATTAAAAAAAAATCATTTCATCTTAACGTTCATTGCTTCCTTCCATAAAATGAAGGTCTTCTAATTATAGTCTAAAATTTAACACATATAAAAGTGAAAATTCTATAAAAAAAATCCCGAAATTTATTAGAAAGTTTACAGATAAATACCCTTAAAACTTAAAACAATTACACTGGCAGTGACAGAAAATGACTAAAAATGTGATAAATTTGTTTAAGTATATAAAAATAAAATTCATGCTAAATGTTTTTTGTTATTCAAACAGTTATGTTGTAACGATCCGAATCGCCATTGATAACCTCCTATTACAGATCACATATTTTAGTAAAAATTAAGCATGGGTCTCCAAAATAAGACCAACTCGATAATAAGACCACTTTTACCAGGGCCCCAAAGTGGTCTTAATAGCAAGACTTAACATTTCCCTCATGAGATATTTACCTCCTCGGCTTTCTTCAGAGTTTCGGTTTGATCTTTACAGCCTTGTTCTAACATCTCTTCGTATGTGTCGATCATGTACGCAATTAGATACGGAGAACGATACCGATCATTATACAACTGTTTACAGAACTCCAAAACGGACGGGTATTTCTGTAACTGACGGTCCATTAGTACGCTAAAAATAGAAATTTATTTATCAGTCGTGTATTAAAATTTCAGTCATACTAGTATAATTACATTCAGACTGATTTTTTATGTGAACTTGATTTGTAACAGAAACTTAGCTTTCTATATTCAAATATCATCGTCACCTTAGTGCAGTAACAGGATAACTCCTATTGATATCATATTAGGAGTTAAACCGTTATTGCACTAAGGTAACAATATGTCCTAAAATGGAAGCAATGCCTTTATTGGAAAGTGGTGTATACTGAAAACTTAAGGTAAGCTTAAAATGGACATATAAGGCATATGTGGGAAATTTGGCTTTAAGTGGAAATTGGTTCAATATTCAAAACTAGGTCATAAAAATAAGGCCAACATAAGAAATTGGCTCAACAATTGAGACCTAACAAAACTTGATCATGTCCTACCTGATAAGATGTTATATATTTCTTTACAACATTCTTTTATGTAACAAGTTTGCTTAAGAGTTTTAACACAAAAACTGTCAAATATGGCATAGGCTAATTATTTAATTGATGTTGGAATTATACTTCAATGCCTCTATATAAAGTTTGTACCATTTAAAAACATTTCAGTTAAAAAGATATTGGGAATCCCCCATTATTATAAAACAATGTATCATAAACAGTCTTCTGTACTTTACTAAAGTTTACCCTTTTAAATAATTCCATGCACTTTCATTGTTTGGTGCTTTTCGGATGTAGTCCTGGGTAAATCTGAAAGTAACAATAATCACATAGTACAAGAACAAAGTAGCTTCCTTTTTAGCAATACCTCACCCTCTTTGTAACACTGATTTTCATTGGTCAGTCAGGCCATACACATTATCAGCATGTATAAACAGTGTACCCTCTTCAGAGAGGCCCTCTATTTAGCAATAACCTCTCAAAAACAGAATTTAATGTCTCTATTGAAACACCTCTCCTCAACAATCACAGAGTTTATCTCCCAATGGGTGCTGCACTGGAAAAGTTGTACCATGCATGGCTGCTGTAAACTTTTAAATAGTTTTCATTTTATACAATATAATTATTATTATACAATATTATCAATTCCTTTTAAAGAATTTAAAGTTACCTGGCAATGTATAAAAGTAATTGACAGTTAAAGTATGGCAAGTCCATTCATACAAATTTAATGACAAAACAGCTTGATGCGAGTTTTTGTAATATTAATTATCTTTAATTCAAGATACAGAAATCTGGCTAATATTTGTGATATAGATCTATAATTTTATCAATGGTAATAACAAGTGTGCCAAACTAATAGATAGAGATACCTGATTAAAACAACAGGTAAATTGGCATTTTACATGCAATGTTATTTATAAGACTTGACGTTCAGGTATGATACATTAAGACAAAACTCTAACAAAAATAATTGAATGCTTTCACAATATATTACTGGCAAATCAAAACAAGAGACTACATCTGATTTCCCTACTTGTTTGTTTTGTTTGCATGTTTGTCTAAACAAATACTTGGACACCTGTTTTTGTGTAAATGACTTGACCTTTCAATTTGGAACTGTGCAATACTTAAATTATGAAGCCAACAAAAGAGATAATGCATCTTTCAAGCCAGCTTGCTGATAGAGAAAGTCCCAAGATAATTCATCCAGGGTTAGTGCTTGCAGGAGCCAATGACAAATTTGGCTAATAAAAATTTAAATTGGTCCGAGAAATATGGAATTGGTCCGAGAAATATGGAATTGGTCCCAGACATATGGAATTGGTCCCAGATATATGGAATTGGGCCAAGAAATATGGATTTGGCTACAAATGTCAATGCTCTAAAAATAGATAAGTAGTCATCCATATTCAGTGGCATGAAGAATAACTGGCATAGTGCTACCCTCTGTATATTATTTCAAGGACAATCTAGTAGTGGCTTAAGTTTGTCAAAAGAAGAGGGTCTTAAAAAAGGCTCAGCCCTTCCATCACAGCCTATAATAATCCTACAGGTATAATCTACTTCCTGCTTTAATTGTCAATGCTGGATAAGGGTTCAAACCTTGCATTTAGGCAAAGCAAGTATGAACATGTCACTATAGATGTCAACCTAAACAATTAGCTCTGAAGCTAAATACCAGTAAATATGTTAGTCAAAAACAATAAGAAGTTTTAAAAACTTTAACTACCTAATCTCCCTGTCAATAATTTCATCAGTGAACTGCGATGTATTGTTGATGACAAAATAACGTTGGTTCCATGCCGAATTGTTCCTCAAGTCCTCCCTTAGCAGTTTCTCTACGTACTCCAGCTCGTTATCCCAGAGGTCAAACTCCCGAATAACCCACTGACGGTGTTGCCAAGCATGGTAGTTTTTGGCGTCTCCCTGTAAGATCTTACCAGTGAAGTCAAGCTCTTGTGACGGTTCCTGCAACCATTCCACAATAACACGTCTGTGGTGCCTGAAATTTATTTTCGAATATTAGATTACACTGATAAATAGAGGATAATGAATGAGTGAAAGTTTAAAGTGTACAAAGCTATATATCTGATGTAAAAATTATTGTTTGGAATTTAAAAAAGAATACTTCCAAAAATGCTTTTTATAAATAAAAATGGCAAATTTAAATTGGGCCCTTTAAAACGGAAAGGGGCTGCAAAAAATCATTGCAATTTGATTTAAAAAATAACCTTTAAAAATTGCCCAATTTAAAATTTTTTTCCGGGAAAATTATATTCATGTTATTTTAAAAAACAGGGATTCTATTTTTATACTTGTTCGGGAATCAACCATATAATAATGAAACCAATATATTTTTACTGTTGATGAAATTTTTAGAAATATTTCATAAGATATAGATTTATACCCTTTAATACTTAATTTATTGAACGAGTTAAAGAAATGATAGAAAATTTTCATTAAAGCGCCTTTAGTATAGCGCTAACATTTCACGCATCTTAATGCTATGTTTGTATAACGCAAATGACATCACATGAAAATATATGCACAGCTGTGCAATTCCATTCGTATGGAGTCACAAAAGCAGCACCGACAGCAAAGGCTTGTCACTTTAAGTTCCAGCTAGTAAGGGGCTAAAATTAGTAAAAGACTAATCACACTGTATTTTGCCAGTCATATGACTATAGATATGTTATTATTTCAATGAGTAAAACAGTTTTCCAAAAAACATTTAGAAATTTCTGGGTTTACATTCATTATGATCCAATCATAACATCAGATCGATATTCTTATTCCCTCTCTGTTATAAACTCCTGACTGAGTTTTTACAATCAATACATAACAATGCATTCATTTAACACAGGAACTACTTTCTTGATCATTTGTGAGATTATTAATACATGTCAAACCAAACCAAAAAGTTAAACAACATGTCCACATATTCTAATTGCAATATAGTAAGTCATTGACCTTCAAAAAATGTATAAACATTTTTTTTCTTCTGATTTCTCCTGTTTTAAATTTAATGTTTTTGGTTTATTAGGTTTAAGTCATTAAATGGTGGTGATGTGTGGGGTAAAAAGGAACACTGATGATTGTCAATGGTGACCGGATCACCTGTTTCACAAATTCATGTAGCTGGCTAACTATTCAAGACAAGACAAACCAGCAGCAAAAAGTGTTACAGGTTTTCCAGTTAACCAGTTCAAAGAAAACTCTTTTTTTTCATCTAAGCACTGTTTTTGAATGTACAGTAGAACTTCTATGAGTCGAACTTCGATTAGTCGATTTTCTCGATGTGTCGAAGAAAAATGAAAGTCCCGATTTTTTCCCCTATATATACCTTATAGAAACCTATTTATGAGTCGAGATTTTATGTGTCGATTTTTTGATGTGTCGAAGTTTTTTCGTTGTCCATATAAAGTAAATCTAGTGCAATTTACCACAAATAAGTCGAAGTCGTTCGTTATTTTGACACCTTCGATCTCGAGATATTTTTCGCACCTTAGCTGGCTGCGAAGACGATTTCCAATCAACTTGTGTGACAGGTGTTAATTACACAGCCGTGTGTTCAAACAGCCTTTGTTTGCGACAAAATGTGTGATAAAATGCTTTAATCGTTTCTATTTTAATTGCCCTAGTGGTAATTGACAGTAAACAGTAAGAACTACTTTCATTTGAAAACGGTCAAAACATCGGTGACCCGGTGTCGCGTGAGAATTACACGCGAAATATTTATTATAAGCTGATTAAGTTATCGCCCTTTCGTATTGTTACGCCTTTTGTAACTCTATTGTATACGTTAACGGGTAGTCCAAATAATTAGCCGTAAAAAAAGTTATTTAACATTCTATATTTATCATAGTACAATGTAAAATATCAGATTAATGATGGAAAAACATGAAATAGGTTTCGTTATACATATTATAATTAGAAGTAGTCACGGGTCGAAATTTTGTCATGGAATTGAGAGAAATTCATGAGTCGAAGTCCCGATGTGTCAAAGTTTTTACGCAAGTCCCTTCAACTTCGACTTACCGAAGTTCTACTGTATATAACATAATAAAAAGAAACAATATAAATTCTATATCTTACCAGACTTGATAGTTTTTTGGATGTGAGTTGATCACACGTGTGATGTACTGTAACTCCTCTTTCAGATCTTTATTTAGGCCTTTTAACAGCACACGTCTAAAATGCCTGAAAATATACACAAATATAACTATTGATATATTAAACATACCAGAAATATTAGGGGAACAACTTTATTTGCATCATACTGCAAATAATATACTGTCTTAACCTCATTCCACTCTAAATATCTTCAATGGACCTTTCAACTTCCAATATGGACACAGCCGATGGCAAATTTCAAAATAAGTACTGACGGAGTAACAAACAGTGCAGTTTATATAATCAGACTGTAGTACTAAGGATCCACCAGATAATCTTAGTCTGCACTGGTAGTACTGGGTACATTTTGTTGCCATCAGAAGAGTAAAGGTTACATTGTAAATAACAAGAAGTAATTATGAAAGAATAGCTGCATATAAAATGTTGTTTGCAACATGATAACCCTTGCATAGTGACTGGGATTATACAATTATACTAACAACTGGGCTGTGTAACCTTATTTTTTTTTGACTGCTTTTACAGCCCAGTTGTAAGTAAAGATTTTTAAAATCTTTATAATAATATGGATATAACAAATTACATGAATGAAGAAGGTTTATTTATCAATTAAACTACAAGTTTCAATGATTAATACACATACATGTATAATGGTATACAAAGTACAATGACATGAAAGTTAACATGATATATTTGATGGACAAAACTAAATATAAATGACAAAAATAAGATACAAGATGGCTAATACACACTTTCCTATACTAGATCATAGTAAAATCTTTTCATTAGGAATCATGAAATAAATACAAAATTTGATGGCCAAAAAGTATTTGTTTTAAACAGTGGTGATATCACAATGAAATGTCTCTCAGAAAAATTATTCCACTCAATATCTTACTTGATATACATAGGAATAATATGATCTGACCTGAATGTCAACTAAGGGCACGTATCTAGCTATCAAGCGTCTAAATTAACCTACAATTCAGTTTGACAAGTTTGAAATTTTATCAGAAAATCAATCTGTCAGCCTAGTATAAAATCCAATTACTGCCACCCATCAACAAAGGTTACTTCTTCATCACAGACATATACATGTATATATCTGAGAAAATAATCATGAAAGTAAGCAAGAAAGTAAGGTTTCATTATTAGCTCTGACTATTAGATTTTTGCCCTCTTGATTTTTTTTGAGCAATGTAATGTAATGACAAAATTTGTTTTTGTTTAGAGAAAGATGCCCTAGATTGGATCTACATGTATATGGTATGATTTAACCTTTTTAACCAAAACAGTAAGGTAACAGGATAATACAATAATGTGACAGGGTATAATTTCACCAGGTTAATGCCCCTGTCAAAGTTAAATATAATACTGGTTACTTTGTAAGCTAACACCATTATCAACTCTTGGCCTCCAGAGAGTGGATCACAATAACCTTTACGCACAGCAAGGTACGAGACCTGCCACCCAGTGCCTCAATGTCTTGTCAAGTACTAACTTGTATGACAGTTACACTTGTTTGTTTTTTTAATTTGTGAAAATTGAACAAATTCTAAAAATCCAGCAGCAAATGGAGCATGTAATATAGGTAAATAAGCAACAACGCTAAAAATAAACTGGGTCAATGACTTTTATTGAATAACATCAACGATTTCACTACAGTTTTCATTATAAGCATATACTGTTCATAGAATTCATTTATCTCATTTTTTTATTATCTGCCCAGTGTTTAACAAAATTTTATTTTCTGCCAATTGTAAAACCACACTTTTTTAGGATTTGTAATATTTCTATAGCTGGACTAAAATGAGTCCAATGACTGTGACAGCAAGTAATATATACATTTTTGACTGAAACTAATATACCAATTCTTCAAAGCAATACAATATTAAAGGGACTTCACTGAGTTTTTACTTGACATAAAGGGACTGGAAATAATTCTTTGAGTTTAATGTTCCATTTGTTGTAAGTCTAGACAAATAACTTGTAGATCTATCAGACTCTCACTCTGTTTTTATTTCAAAATAATTATCCTAATTGTAAACAATGACCGAAAACGGAAAAACAAATTGGGCTAAGAATAGCATAAAATGTGATTTTCAATTTATTTCTCAGTATATAATTATTTCTTGAGTATCTTTCTGTTTTAATTAAGTGTCCCAGCTGATCTTTGTAAAAAATTCAAATTTTAAGTATTTGGGCTTTAGAACCTCAGTGGAGTTCCTTTAAATCAAGTCCCAGTAAAAAATAATGTAGAAATATAATGTAATCATTCTGTTGCATTGTAAAACATGCACTTTGAAGTTTCTGCAATCATACAATAGCTTTTTCTCATGCAGTTTCTGAAGAATTAACTATAAATCTATGGAGAACTATTGATTACACAAGAAAACAAAACCGGCAAAATAAGACAAAAACAAAATAACACGTAAACTGACATAAAATGATACTTTACTTTATTTAGAAAACACATGATTCATGGAAGCCAGAAATAGAACGGACATTAAGACTCAGGTTAAATACGGAAATTCAAAGATCTGTCAAGACTTTCTTCACTGTCAGACAGTTAGAAGTCTTATCCCCCCACTATTTTAATATTTCACTTCTTAAAATTGTGCACAAATTTGTCAAGATGTTAAATTCGTGTTCTGTCCTAATTTCATAAACATCAAAATTAAATTAATACATCCTGTTGAATAACATAAATATAAAAGTCTGTGCAATAAATCATGACTTTGTGGTAAGTTTTACAGTCACAGAAAAAAAAAATCAAATATTTCAGTAATGCCCAAAACCTGCTGCATTTCTTTAAGGTCTTGACAAGTTTCCAATTCTGGAATTGTCCATTATTAATTATGGGGTCAGACTACATGGAAGTGCAGGCACGGGCCTGACTGAGACTTATACTTGTGGCAAAGGCCTAAATCACTTCCAGTTCAAGGCAGGGAATTAAGAGTAAAAGGAGTGTGTATCAAAATATACATTTTAGAAAAACAAATCTATATCAGATTATAAATTTAATTTAAAAGGAAGGTGTAGCGATTTTTTAGATTAAGATATTCGTTATAAATTTACAATACAATGAATGTGTATTTCCTAAAATACTTGAGAGATTTTTAGAGTTCAATGTACCTGCCAGTCATTATACTTCTAAGTCATTTGAAATCATGAGTGAGGTAAGCCTTTGTATTTCATTCTTAACAAAGCCTCTTTATTTTCCATACTGATTTATAAATTAAATAAATTCATAACTCATAAATAGGCATGACTATTAAATCGTTAAAAAAATTCTACCAGCATTCAAGTCTTTAAAAGAAACATTATTAAAGCAATATGCTTTCATTTAGACACATTTAACAAACAAGGACAATTAGTATGATGTTACATCTTTCACCTTTTTAATTCTATACCCTACAGAAGCTTTCATATGTCAAGGACTAATCCCCCCAAAAAACATTCAGAGATGACGTATTAAGTCTGGACTTCCTCCAAGAAATAATAACACTTCAGGCATGTAATGATAGAGCATAACTTAGTGCCATGTTGACAAGAAGTTATGGCAACAAAACATTGTTAATCCATAATTATAGATTTTAACGATATATTTTTAGCAGTGATCTAACTGTATTCAGTGTTATACCTGAGTTTTAATCTACTTAAAGGCCCATTAAGCCCGAATAAATTGCTATAACCATTATATCCATTATAATTAAACAGTACTTATGTTTGCACTTTCTAAAAAAGTAAAAATTTAAAATCATTTCTGAGGCACAAGGTGCCTTTCTAAAGTGATTTAGTATTTTGTATGGAAGTCACAATACCTGTAGACATTTTGCTACTTTAATGACAAAATGCTGTCATCACTGGTGCTATTCTATCAATGTGAATTAAGCATCTAGCAATGCTCTTAATGGGTAACTACAACATTCTAAATCACATGTTTGCCATTTCTCTGTAGTAGAATAAATGCATTTCATTTCCGAGGCATAATGTGCCTTTAAAGGTGGACAGAAAGTAATGCAAACCTTTAGGATTAAAAAATATCTAATTTTGGTACATCACTGTTTCAATGAATTTTAATGACAGTTTACAACTGTATCAGTAACTTGACATCAAAGATACACATCAATGATCTTATGACCCAAATATCTTAATTACATATCGAACAAAATACCTACCACAATGAAAAAGATTTAAATCGACAAAACTACGCAAACTTACGATGAAAGATTGGGTCAACAATAAGATTATATTAAACTAAATGTCCCCAAATTATGCCATTCTTCAATTCTTATTTCTTAATGCGAAAGAGATTATATTAATGCTCAACACTTAAAGATAAATAAAATATTGATATAAATAATAAAGTTTATCGTTCGTTTAACTACATTTTCATATTTTGTATCTACTACTCAAGTATGCCTCCTGATCAAATTTCTATGACTCTGGTTTGAAATTACTATATATGTATTTTCCATATAAATATTCAAAGGTCTCTTCTTTGTTTTTTAAATGAAAAAGGTGATGAAATGTAAGAACTTAAAGGTGACATTACCTGTTTTTTGTCATTGTTGGAGTTTTTTTTTTAGGTTTATGTTGTTGTTGTTTCTTTTTCCTTTTTTTTGGGGGGGGGGGGGGGGGGGTGGGGGGGTCTTGCAGTAAGAGATGGGGGTGAACACTTTAATAGCTGATGATGAGTCACATACTACCAAAATAATGGGTATAATCTGGGAGAAGAATAATATTGGTCAAATATTATTCAGCATATACAGTAATCATAAACTCAAAACGTATGAAGATTTATATCAAAGAAAACCCCATTTCATCTCAATTTATATAAAGAACAAAAATAACGCTCCAATTTGTCAGGTTAAAAATAAACTTCAAGGCAAACAGAAAACATCAATCACAAAATTCGTGCTATATTTGGATTGCAAACATTAAAAGAGTTGAAATTAGTGCAGGTAAACTTTGTTTTGTGATAAAGAAAATGAGACATTAAGTTTATTTTTGAACACTGGTATCTTTGGCATTATAATACAAGACCTTGACCACTTTGATAAAAT